TCTTAGCATGTTTTGTGCTTTTACACGTCAACATATCGTAGCAGCGTCCACACGACAAACATAATTGTGAACAAAAAACAGCGACAGTGTTTCCATAATTATAGCAAGTGCCTCTGATGATGGTTGTGTCAAACCGAAACATGTAAGGCAGAAATAATAATAAAAAGTGACCTACAAATTGTTACACTCGACGGACTTTCTATTAACTTTGTGATTGATAGTGTAACGGACCAAAATGAAACAATTCAAAATAGAATGATAAAGTTAGTGAGGATGTGTTGAGTAAGGTATGTAGCACGAATAGGGAGACGAGGAATGGGTATAGGATATTGGTGGGGAAGCCAGAATGAAAAGAGATCACTGGGAAGACCAAGGCGTAGGTGGGTGAACAATATTAAAATGGATCTTAGAGCAATAGGATGGGGTGGTATGGACTGGATTAAAATGGCTCAGGTGAGAGACCGGCGGAGGGCTCTTGTGAAAATGGTAATGAACCTTCGGGTTCGATAAAATGTTGGGAAATTTTTCAGTAGCTGCAGATTTGGCTTCTCCTCAAGAAGGGTCAGCTCCATAAGTAAGTAATAAGTTTCCATTTTGTTCTTAAATGATCTACAAACCAATCATGCTCTGAGATGATGCTTCAACACGGTAACGTGACAACATAAATATATTTTCTTTAGTTACATTTCCGTGTATATTCCTTGACACAAGGAAACAGTCTTAATTTGAATTTTCTCAAAGCGGAACTGTCGATTGTGGAAAGTGCTGCCATCAGTTGGAGACAATGTGACTTACCATAGGAAGACAGAACGTCATTGATCTTACACAAATGAAATATTGTCTGGTGACATCTAGCGAACTGTATGGAACTATGTGTACACCGCAAAATTGAATTGACAAGACAGATTCAATCGCAAAGCAGTGGAATCACTTTCTTTAAAAGAAGCCCTTTACTGTACATGGGCTCGACGTCAGGAATGCGGGGTGGCAAACTCCATAAGAAGAAAGCAGTCTTCTGGAATGAGGGCCGTGTAGATAATGTGTTAACCGAGGTTTCGGAGGAACATTAGTCCGTAAGCATCTGCTCACGCTGGTTCCTCGCTCGCGGATTTTCTTCTTTTTTCTTCTATCCTGAAGATGGGGGCGATACGTTCCTCCGAAACGTCAGTTAACACAATATCTACACGGCGCCACATCCCAGAAGACTGCTTTCTTCAGTCACCGCCGTGAAAACCTCAAATCTTCCATAAGAAGAGCTTTGGAGAGAATTGAAGTAAGAATCAAGAGACAGTAAAGCGTATTCTCTTCAGCTGAAGCGCTCACGAAAAACGAATTGTTTATGGAGTTACGGGTTCCTGCATAATAAAAGTAGGGAAATGAGATGCAGGACACTAAAGAAAACTATTTATTTTTATTATTCTCTTCCTCCTTGTCCCTCGTGTTCTTCTCAATCATTCGACCCTCACCCCTTTACTTCTTCCCTTCTTTTTATAGTCGTTTAACCTTCTCAGACTCCATATTTCTCCCCTTGTCTTACTACTTATATTTCCTTTCTACTCGATACGTATGCTTGTAACAGAAATGGGCACTGGCTACAGTTCTTAACTTGGAGAGACCTCATGTTTTTGCAGTGCCAATTCAGTCACCTGGTTCTTATGACGTCGGGAGTGACAAACACCGTATTATTCCGACCCGCACAACTGTGACTTCAATGTATATTAAGGCGCGTCCACATTACTCGTGCTCGTGCTCGTGTGACTCGCTATGCTCGCGATTAATGTGGACGATATGACAAAACACAAGGAAAAAAAAATTAATATTTTAATTTAAAAACTATAGCCAATAAATTACAATACGACTACAGCCTATACACACTACGAGTAAATATACGGATCCTCACGCGCCGAAGCCTGGCGAGCTGGAGCACGAGCACGAGTAATGTGGACGCGTCTTTAGGAATATGTTTCATGCTTCTTTCCTTTCTGTAGCTTGTTCGACAAGGCTTTGAGGTGCAAGATTATGTAATGGCGGACGGGAGGAAAACAGAAGAATAACAAGGAATGAAAATTGGTTTGAAAGGAAGTGGTCTTGGCCTAATATAGGTACTATTCTGGTATGTGACTGAAGTGACTGAGGAAAATAACGAAATATTTCAGTCAGGAGGGCCTTTGTCCAGGCCGAGTTCCGAACAGAGCAATTCCGGAATAAAAGTCAAGAATGTTGCCTCTAGACTAACCTGTATCATGTAAACTCGCTAGTGAGAAAAATTATTGTACAATCCCAAAGAAATACTGGTGCCACGTAAATACAGCTAAAACGGAATACATTGCAAAATATCTTAATACAAATACAGAGATTCCGAAAACGTGTCAGACTTCTAGTTCTGAAAATATTGCTTACTTAGTTGCTTATAGAGCTGAGCCCGTCTTGAGGAGCCGCCAAATCTGCAGCTACTGAAGAATTTCCCAGCATTTTATGGAACCCGAAGGTTCATTACCGTGTTCACAAGAGCCCTCCACTGGTCCCTATCCTGAGCCGGACCAATGCATTCCATACCATCCCATCCTATCTCCCTAAGATCTATTTTAACATTGTCCACTCACCTACGCCTTGGTCTTCCCAGTGGTCTCTTTCTTTAAGGCTTTCCCACCAATATCCTATACGCATTCCTCGACTCCCCCTTTCGTGCTACATGACCTGCTCACCGCATATTCCTTGACTTGATCATTCTAATTATACTTGGAGAAGAGTACAAGTTATGAAGCTCCTCATTATGCAGTTTTCTCTAACCTCCTGTCACTTCATCCCTCTTCGGTCCAAATATTCTCCTCAACACCCTGTTCTCAAACACCCTCAGTCTATGTTCCTCCCTTAATGTCAGAGACCAAGTTTCACACCCATACAGAACCACAGGCAAAATTATAGTTTTGTACATCCTAATTTTTATGTTTTTGGGAAGCAGAGGAGAAGACAAACTGAAAATATTTCATAGTATTATATTGCAGCATCCTGTTACATTAAAATATCACTCGACCATTTGCTTCGGTCTATAAATCAACACTAACTTTTGTTTTAATATGTCATTTGCAAACACATTTGAAATTCATAGAATGTCATTAAAATCACATTCTTTATTTTATTGTTGCAACATGTTTCGACCCTACAAGGACATCCTTTTCAATGTTAATTGTCTGAAATCGCAGCAATGCGTCGATATGTTTACATGTTACGGCTGTACGTCGTTATTTGAGAATATACGCCCACGCTTCATTCACGCTGTCTTCATTTTGCGGCGTCCATGCTGCTTTCCTTTGCGCGTAGTTTCCTTAGTCGCGCGTGCGTCCCTTGAAGAGGCACTGAAACTATTATACTAAAAAATAAATGAATATTTCTGACTTGCCAAAAAAAAAAGTAAAATCAGAGAAGAATTAATTAATAAAATGGCTGTTTATCGGTTTAGAAATGTCAACTGGTTTAGTTTTAAAAGAAACTTTGTGACAGGAGAAATGTAAAGCATTGATTTGGGTGCAGGTCGGCCGGACTGTGAAGCCAAACACTAAAATACTCCGTGATTTTCGTCCGCAAGCGAACAATACCGAGCGACCGCCGCTTGTCGGCGAAGTTAGTTCCAACTACTATATAGAGGGTGTCGCGTGGTCAGCGCAACGAATCCCCACGGCCGTTAATTTCGGTTTTCTAGACCGGAGCCGCTATTTTCTTGAAATAGCTCCTAAATTATCCTCACGAGACTGACTGAACCCTGTTCCAGACCCACTACTTCTCAGAAGAAACTTGTAGCGCCGTGAATCGAACCCGGACCTCTGGATCTGTAGCGAAGAACTCTGACCACTAGATCACAGAGGCGTTCGAAGCCAAACACTCACATCTTTTAATTCCGAGTGTGTAATTGTGTGGAAGGGCCGGTCACGGTAGCCGAGCGGTCTAAGGCATGCACTGTCTTCGCTCGCTTGGAAGCCGGGATCGTGGATTCGAATCCCACTGAAGGAATGGATGTTTGGGTGCGGTTTTCTGTGTTTGTGTACAGGTAGAGGCCTTGCGACGAGCTGATCACTCGCCCAAGGAGTCCTACCGAATGTCTAAGATCTAGAAAAACCGAAGTGAACGGAGAAGTTCATGGAGGTAGCCCTAGGCCCACTGGGGGCTGTAGTGCCAAGGGGAAAAAGAAATTGTGTGGAAATTCACTTAAGCACCACCTACATGTCTTCATAGCGCGAGGAATGAGCATAAAAATAACCTTATCTGTACCATCCAGGAAAATATAATAATATATTCTAATCTACGATTTTTTTATTGCTAGTGGGGTGGGACTAAGTCCCTTGTACTGCGGCCACTTCTGGCCTGTTGTACCAGCCCCAGATGATAGGTGACGGTGATTGTGCAGCAATTGGTGGAATGAAGATTGGTAGGGAAAACCAAACCGCCCCAGCGTCACTTTATCCACCACAAATCTCACCTGACCTGACCCGGGATCACACCCGGCCCGCCGTGGTGTGAAGCCAGCGAGTAACCGCTTGAGCTATGGTGCGGCCAGAATACAGTATTAAATCGATATTTGAAAACCAGTATGTGAAATTGTGGATTGGATTCAGCTGGAATAGGACTGAATAAAATTACTCGCTTTATCTTCACGTTGATGAATCTTCCCATTCTATAAGTGTAGCACATTTGACCATCAGAAAAATAGACAAGATGGAGCTTCGTCCTGCTTTTAGTCAACAACACACAGCATTGCCGCAGCCTTATTCCAAGTCAGGCTGACTTCGAGGCGTAAAGCGACAGACGTAGAATGCAGGTCGCCAGAATTTTACGACATAATAAACAATAGAAGTGTCATGTGTTACACATGTCAAATCAACATGCGGGTCTGCACGTAGACTTCCGGCGAAACAAACTCACCTTGTGATTTTCCGAGAGTCATCACCACAGGCGCGGCGAGCGAAGTATACGATAAAATGACTTTTGTGGGTCTGAATTCCAGGCAATTAGCTACCGTGACTAGCGCGACAGGGTGAGACACGTGTGCCTGCTACTATAAAACACGGTTGTTTCAGGACAACCCTACTAGTTGCATTCCAGGATGCATACATGTACAGCTCTGCTCGTCATTGCCTTGTTACTGCATATCCCGCCACAGGTAAGTTCGGTTTTCTTTCGCATTTCACTTGTCACACCCATAATTCAATGCTGCACTAGTTGCTACTACTCGTACTACTAACATTAGCCAATACAACTACCACCAATATTACTGCTGTTACTACTGCTACTACTACTGGGGGCACACGGTAGCGTAGTTGGTTGAGGCACTATGCTATAAGCCGGAAGGTTGCGGGTTCAAGTCCCAATGAGGTCATTGGATTTCTTTTTTCAATTAACCTAATCCTTCCAGCCGCACGATGGCCCAGGGGTCGACTGAGCCTCTAACAGAAATGAGTACCAGGAATATTCTTCTAATGTTATTGGGGGTGAAGGGCGGCCGTTGCGTAGGGCTGACATCACCGCGATATGAGCCGATTGTCTAGAAAATGCGGGAACCTCAACGTCTCATAACCCTATGGGCCTCCACTGCCTGTTACGGGGATACCTTTACTTTTTACTAATACTACTACTGCTGGGACCTTAAGCTCAAGATTCTGGTGTAGTTATTAGCAACTAATTTCATATTTTGTAATTTCTGAGTTCGAATCTCTACCAGATTTTCAAATTCTACTGAGAATCCTCGAGATTTTCCTCAGTACCCCAAAATGTGCCCTAACGTTTCCTTAAAATGTGCTACTACGGGTTCCTTCTACGTCGTTCCTAACTAAGCACTCACATAATCTGTTCCGTTGGCAGAACTTTGTTAAACAAACTAAAGTTCATTCGATCTATTTCTCTCTGGTCTGACACTCTCACAGTGTATACAACTGTGTTTTTTAAAACAAGGGGTCTCTTTTAAATTCAACATTTGATTATCTCATGTTGCAGGACGCCGCTGGGGCCAACTACACCGTGGGTAAGCAACTCGAATTAAGTAAAATATTTCTGTCTGCTTCTCCGAACTACGTCTCACAGTAAAACGAAAAGCAATACAGACGTGCCTACGAGTGGTAACTGTGATTCAAAATATTTAATTATACAATAATTTAACATATAAACATCATTGTTTACAAAGGTACCGTTTCAGCAAGGAAATTTAAATGAAGCCTAAGCCAATATCACTGTCATTGTAGCATAGTATCTCAAACGGTGTTTTGCAGGACGAGAAAAGATGATTTTTTTGCTGGTTTACGCTCATACGAACTTTATTTTATAGGCCTAATGACTAACATTGCGTATCACAGTGGCCGTGGTCTAAGGCATGAACTGTCTTCGCTCATTCGAACGTTGGGAACGTCGGTTCGAATCCCACTCGAGGCATTGATGTCTGTGTGTACGTTTATTCTGTGTTTGTGTTGTCCTGAGTGGAGATATCGGCCTTGCGACGGTCTGATCACTCGTCCAAGGAGTCCTACCGTCTGTGTAACACATCAAGACACTGAAAAAGCGACCAAAGCCCTTCAAAGGGCTGTAGAGCCATAGATTAATAGATAGCGGCTAACATTGTAGCAAGCAGTAGTTTCGTAAGTTTCTTCATAATTTTTGTGTCCAAAGAGCAACCTTGCAGGAAAATTCAACAACAATAACAAAAACCTTCGCGATTGGGGGGGGGGGGGGGTTGCGCGCAGTGACGGGAGAAAAAAAAATTTTGAGCAAACAATATAGTCTGAATCCACCAGTCTTCAACAATACAGTTCAC